AAGAACAAACCGCAGCCCATCTAAAATTTTTTGGAAGGTTAGAAAGATAATTTTTTTTTTACAAATGCTGGCATATTTTTGGGAATCGTCTCTTGCAGTTCATATCGGAGCATCCTATGCGATTGTCCGAAGATTTCACATCGACAATACTGCTGAAATAAAGTTTCGGAAGTTCTCCAGCAAAATTTCCAGTAAAAACATACTCATTTGACTTCACTATAAAACCTTCCTCATACATTATTATTTTGAATTTCTGAACCTGCTGGTGTAACCATACAACATGCGAATCAGGATTGTCTGTGAAATTGAAAATAAGAATTTCCTCAGAGATTGGTGAGCACATACCTTGGGCTAAAATAAGAGGTAGTTTTAAGATTGGTCTTTCACGAAACCCTAATTTAATTAGAAATTGGGTTTTTTCGAATTCCCGGAGATTTGAAAACAATTCTTGATGCTCAAATCGTACGACTTCGTCGTAATCTATCACAGATCGATGATAGCGATCGCTTTCGTCTGAAAATATAATGAAATACTCACGACTACTGCAATTTACCCTTCAAGAACTCCATAATTTTCAAACAAGCATCATCAGCACGTAACGGCGATTTTATCAGCTCAGCCAAAATTGAGTTGAAACATTCAATTGAATTCGACGATAAAAAGGGTTGAATAACACCAGCAATCAATCGGCTCCGCAAGGAATTGCAATCGAAAAGGTTATCGAAATTTCGACGTACCCTGAAAAAAGGAGCAAAAAAGAAAATTTAAAAAATTCGTTTTTCTTTCATTTATTACGATTTATTTTTTTTTTAGTTAATATGCTATTTTAATGTTTTTCCTCGAAACGCCAGCATTTCTTTAATCGTATTTCATCGTTGCCTAATATTTAAATTTAAAATATTGAAAATACCAAGCTTTTGCGCCATCATCATCACAAGTCTTCTCAAACAATTCGAGACGACGGTGATAGTCTTGTATGTTCAAAGCTCCAAGAAGTCCAGTCTTCAAGTAGTTCGGTCCCATCTGTAGGCTCGTAATTTTAATTGAAAAAGTGAATGTAAATGTTTAAACTTGTCCAAAAACCATTCGGACTATTCTGCGACTATAACTCGAATCCTTAGATTTCACACTATCTGCCAAATTTTTTGATCTGTGTAGTTCACAACGAAGAGTTTGTGCGTGGTCGAATGCGGAAATAGTCTATAGTTCTCTCTTGAAATAGATATATGAGTTAATTGAAGAACCTGGCGATATACGGAGAATGAAGATTCACCGTCACAAATAATTGCAGGAGTTTTTCTTAACTTTTTTGGCTCAAGCTGAGACAAAATCGATTCTAAATGCTGCGCATGGAACGAATGACTTGCGGAATGTTTTCTAGAATGGAAAAGAACTCCCAAAACAAGAAATCGGGGTTTATCGGAACTTCGAGTTCTAAAGATAACTATTTTTTCAAATTCATTTTTGATTATACCGGAATTGTTTTGAGGCAGTCCCAATGATAGTTATAAAAAGATCCGATAGTGTGAATGTTGTATCAATGAATATAACTCCTTCAAACATGTATGCATCTTTTTCCTTCCTGTTCCAATCGTCTATCAAAATTCAAAATAATATCTAATTCTATACAACAATGGCTATCATACCCAAGTATTTTTGAATCGAACTAAGCGGTCCATCGTCACATAATTGTCCAATCTTTTCGCGATGTTGAACTAGTTCGTCTTCAGTTGGCAAGGAATTCAAATAAATGTTACAGTTTTCACGGATTATTATTGACAAACATTCCGATATATCTCCATCACCTTAAAATATTTTCAGAATTTAATGAAACCCAAAAGTAAGTAAGTGTAAGTGAATGAAACATACAATTTTCAATCGAAAACTTGCAATCTGGAATTTTATGAGAAATACTTGACAGTTGATATGGGGTTGCCACTCGTTTTGGGCCTCGTTTCCCGATTACTGCATCGCGCACATACCGAACTTGATTCCGAATCTAAAGTAAAATAGTTCTATTTTAAATATGTGCCATATTTACCTGTTTCTTATTAAATTTAAAACCTTGATCCAAAAGTTGTTTTTTTGTGCAGTCAACCGTACGCCCCTTCAGCGTTTCTCGAATTATCCGAGCTTCTTGATCTGAAAAAAAAATTTATTTAATGTTGTAGGCAAAATTTTACTTGAAAGCCTCGAAGGCTCCTCAATAAGAATTATGTTCGGAGATTTTTTAATGTATTGGATTAAAAAAATTTCGCCGCCAATCTTATGAATTATCTAAAACTAATAATTTAAAAAATACACAAAATAACAAATACCATTTTTTTCAGATCGGGGTTTTCCACGTATTCGCATTTAATTACTTGGTATTTTTCGTATTCTTGGTTCCAATAAATATAAATGGGAGCAATTTTCTTTTTCCTAGAAGAATAAAATAAATAATTTAAATTGCAAAAATATTATGAACCTTTTTCCCTTCTTGACCATTTGAGGCCATCGTTCATCGCACTTAGGCCACACAAGGCGTCCTTCTTTATAATGAAATATTTTGAACCAATCCATGTTCCATCAATTTTCGATTTGATTTCGTTCATCGATATCGAATATCTATAAAATACAAATATTGTCGAAGAAGGACGAATTGTACAAATTTGAATGACCAAACGCGTTAGCTATTTTTGAATTTTTGCATGCGCCAATATCTATAAAATTCAATTTTTTCAACTTAATTACTCACCGAATCACGTTTTCGTCGTCGGACAAGAGCAAGCCTAAAGCTTCGTGCTTTTTCAAATAATCCGTTTTAGATTGAAGAGACATAACAAAACCAAATGTGAAGTTTTCCGAGAAGGCGACTGAAAGTGATTTATTAGTGTCATAAAGTTAAACGGAACAAATTTCATCTGACATGTAGTTTCAGCATGTAACTAAGAATTACGGCACGAAAAATAGTGAATGAACGGAGAATTTAGGATTGATAGCAATAAAAACATGAAAACGAAAACGATCTGTAAACACAACGGTATAAAATGCACACCGAGCTTACCGTACCAACCACGTGTATTTTTTCCACAACTACTTACATAATGAACTGCAACGTGTTTTATTTATAAAAACTTATAAATTCATTTTCAAAGACTGTAGTTAAAATATTCTACATAGATTAAAAAAAGGAAAAACATAGAAAAGCGAAAAGATTAACTAATTTTTATCTAATTAAATTTTTAGATTGTGCACATTTGAGAAAATGTTACCGTAACGCTGCGTCTTTAACTGTCATTTTTATTTCTTCTTTTTTTTTTTTTTAAATTTTTTTGCCACTTTTTGCAGTTAGTTGCTTCGAAATTAATTGAAATGTTTCTAGTTCAATTTTAAGTCTATTTATTATAAATTCACGGCAATTAAGGCTTGAAATTGCGTAAATTTCAATTATTTCTCATTAATTTTTAGGATTTTAATTTTTCCGCAAATTTCGATGTTTACTCCACTTCTCACAGTTTTTTAATAAATAATTTTTTAGGTTCCGTGCGTTGGCAGCACTATTTGATAGATTCAACATTCGATTCTCTACTTCTGTATCTTTTGGTATATTTTTTCCAGTTTTATTGTCTTTTCTCCACGCTAATTAATTAATTTCGGTTTTTTTTGAATAAATTTATTTTTTTTAAACGTATTTGATTACTTCAAATCATTTAAGTTCATTTGGTCGGTTTTAAGAATTTGAAAACAAGCAACATTGCCAAGCAACACTGGACTCGCACAAAAATTATGTTCTTTCAAATACGTTTAGTTTACTATTCATTGATTGCTCGATTGGGTGAATCAAGGAAAAGAAATCAATACTGCCTGCTGCAAATTTCCAAATTTTCTCTATCAGCCGAACAACTAGTTTTATTGCAGTATATATATATATATATATATATTGAAATCTGCAATAATTTACATATATTGTCGGCGACAAACGACTGAAGAAGGCGGGGCCTTCAACTTCACGAATTCAGTGTAGATTTAAATTTTTTGTTAACTGAATATTAAATGCGCGTACGCTATAATGCAATGTACGCAATCTCGCTGCCTCGAGACGCATTGGCACATAGCCGATATTTGCTTACATTTCGTCAAGCCGTTTGACTTCGATAATATGTATATTCTCAGAAAATCATTAGTCAAAAATTGTTAGTCAAAAAAAAATAGTCAAAAATCACTAGTCAAAAACCATGAGTCAAAGAATAAAAAATCATGATACAATTTTTATGAGTCAAAAATCATGAGTCAAGTCAAAAAGTATGAGTCATTGAACATTGGCCGCCGTTTTAAAACAGGCCTGACGGTATAAGCTAAAATAATTTGCAAAATAAATTAATAAAAATCACTTATCGCGTTATTCCATCCATTTCCCTCCTTTATTCACGCTCAATAATAAATATGTTATTGAATAAAAACTGTGTTCAGTTGTTTTCATTAAACTAACGGAGACTACTAAAAAATATCAGATCATACATATCATTTGGCCTACTACGGATATTCGTTTAATGTTACAGTCGATTCCTTCGGTGGATCCGCTTAGCTGGGATTAAGCTTCTCATTGAAATCGATAAGCGATGAAATGCCAAAAAAAAAAAACAATTTTTATGCTTACAGAAGTTAAAAGAACTTTTTTCCTTTCAGTAATAATCTTTCCCCCATTCAGTAATAACATTTCTCCCAATTCCCCCCCCCCCCTTCAGCTTCTTACCCAGCAATATTGCCCAAAAAAACGGAATTGAATACTGAAAAAAACTGCAGGAATCTCACCTAAAAAAATTCAGAAAATCAATAGTCAAAAATTGTTAGTCAAAAAAAATAGTCAAAAATCACTAGTCAAAAATCATGAGCCAAAAAATAAAAAATCATGATACAATTTTTATGAGTCAAAAATCATGAGTCAAGTCAAAAAGTATGAGTCAATGAACATTGGCCGGGGTCACCATGTAAGAATTCACCGATTGATCCGTGTTCTGATGACGATATTTTATTTCCTCGGAAGGCGACAACATTCAGTTCAATTCTATGCCACGAAGAGTCGGAGAACCGCGTTCAAGCTGGCCCAACAAGAACATCCCCCTTCGGACGACATCATTCGCAACCTCCGATTGCAGAAACAAGATGACTTATGGATATTTCATGGACGAATCAATAAGCCCTTGATCTACCTTCCCCATCTTAGAGTTGGCGAACTCTTCGTTCTCGATATCCACGAACGTCACGGCCACGCCAGTACGTCATATACGCTAGCTGCAATTCGTGAAATTGTTTGGATAACTCAAGGAAGAAGTTACGTGAAGAAGATCCTCGCCCGGTGCCGACAATGTGAACGTCGTCGATTGAAGCCATACAAACAGCCGGACTTCCCTCAATTCCCGGAGTCGCGAACGCAACCGACCCGACCATTCAAGGGTACTGGAATGGATTTTTGTGGACCAGTCAAGATTAAAGGTTCAACGGGACCCGCGGATGCCTGGATAGTCAAGATTAAAGGTTCAACGGGACCCGCGGATGCCTGGATCCCGTTGAACCTTTCTCTTCACCTGTCTGGGATCACGATATGTATCAACGGAATTGGTGACGGACATGAAGACAACGACGGTACTGAACGCCCTGCGACGTCTTGCGGCGACCTTTGGAACACCACGCACCATTATCTGCGACAACGCGAAGCAGTTTGTGATGATCAAAGAAGTCTGAGAATACGTCAATCTACAAGGGAAGCGAAACTCGATTTTGAACTCGACGACATTACCCGAATTCAAACTCATTCCGGCACATTCGCCATGGAGCGGAGGAGTTTACAAGAGAATGGTGGACATCATCAAGAATACGCTGCTGAAGTCAGGAACGGGCAGACTCCTCATGGACGAAGATGACTTACGGACGGTGTTAGCGGAGACTACAGCCATCATCAATCGGCGTCCACTGACCTACATTCCCAGCGACGCCAATGAGATGCAACCTTTGCGACCAATCTACATTGTGCTACCGTTTTCGGTGAAATCCTTTGTGTTCACTTTGGAACCACACGAGGACTGCGGTCACCTTCCGCACACAAAAACGGAATTGCTTGAAAGCTGGAGTAGTTCGTGCTCTATCGTCCAGTTTCTACTCAAGGATTGGACAAAACGGTACACACAACTTCTGCGAGATCGTGGAGATACCGGACACAGCCAGACGAAAGCAACGGAGCACAAACCGAAGATCGACGATGTGGTACTCATAGAACAAGAGCACGTACCCATTCACAAGTGGCCAATGGGCCGGATCGTTGAAGTCAAGGACCAAAGTGATGAACGGAAGAACTCGACGAACCCAAGAGCACCCTTTCAAGAAAATGTTCCCGCTCGAAGACACTACTGTAGAAGAGGATGGACGCTCAACGGCGAAAGTAACCAATAGCACGTCACAAGAGGCGAAGCCTACCAGAAGATCCCCTCGACCGCTTCGGAACACAATCAACTCTACCGGGTTGGTCCTGCTTGTGGCAGCGCTTTTTGCTACGACTGATGCGGAACAACAGCTCATCAACAGTCCCACAATGATGAATACGACGATCGAAGACCGGTCCTCATACCTGGAACCCTTGTGGAGTGTGACCAGCCAGCTGCAAGCTCAGTCTCAACAGCTTCAATCAGTCATCGGAATTCTCGTCATGATGTGCATTCTCAACATTTTCTGCTCGACATGCACATTGCTACAGAAATGCTGGACCACTGTGCGTTTGCTTCTTCGGGTCGCATGGATTGTTATCGCACTTCCCATTCGATGGATCTTTTCACGATGCCCACGACCACGCCGAGGTAGATTCAACCTCCAAAAGTTTCGCGGACTTCGTCCACGGAATGCCATTCTTCTGACAATTGTGTTGCTGATTGTACCACTGATGGAAGGATGTTCGCAAGTCGCTACAATGCAAGCCAAAAAAGCGTCTGCATTCGTCAGGATGATACCACGATCTGCACCATCAAGGATGTGGCCACCACGCACGTCCGACCGAACGGAACCATGGCTTGTTTTGAGCTTCACGACGCTAGTGGGAACATGGCCTACACAGTTCAAACTTGGCCTACACAGGCATTCAGCATCGTATCCTACTGCAATCAGGAGACGGTGTTCTACAGCCGCGATTATACGCTCGCGTCTGAATCGAGTCACCGCTGTGCCCACGCAGGGTCATGTTCCGCGGACAAGTGCCAGACGACCAAAGTTGATGACGATTTGCCGGAATTGAGCAACGAGGCGAAGGCGGCCCCGGTTTCACGAGATGTCAGGAGGCCTGTGGATGTCCTGCCTGTGGCTGTTTCTTCTGCTCTCCAGGATGCATTTTTCATCGCGTCTATGCACGACCGACATCGACTACAAGCTACGAAGTCTTTCGGTGCCCAACCTGGTCTACCGCTATCGACGCAGAAGTGCAAATTAATGAGGGAAAACCATGGCGGGTCGAACTACGTGATGGACTCCCGCTGAAGATCCCGCAGACCAATCTTACCATAACGGGGACTGGCTTCTCGATACCACTCTCCACGGAGCAGCTTTCATTCGATCGCATCCGGCTCATTACGACGAAACGCCGGCATTTGCCTTCACGCAGTGAGCTCTGGGGTTGCCCGGAGTGCCAGAACCATTGGAACCTTCCAGTGCGCGTCCCTTGCGGATGCCCGAAATTTCAATTGTCGGTTCAACGAAGATCAATGCCACTGCCGAACCACAGTGAATAACCGCCGATTGCCGTTCAATACACATGGATTCCGATTCGAGACCCAAGGAAACCGCGTACGATCAAGGATGACCAGTTCGAGTGTCGTAACTTTGCACCTCACCGCTGACCAACATCGTTTCCGAGCTGTACAAGACAATGCCATTTGCTTCCTCAATCTAACCGGATGCCATTCGTGCCTCCCGGGAGCAAATTTGGCAGTCCGTTGCACGGCCCCCCGTACGGTCAATGCTGTTCTTCGATGTCCCAATGACTGGCTCGGTTATCTGCGATGCTCCGCTGAAGGCACCGTCAACCGGCTCGAGTTTCACAGCGATTTTCCAAACGTCGCACTGAACTGCTCTTGCCAATGTGGTTCCACCACCACGTTCATCGGTTTGTTCGGGACCCTCGAACAATCTTTTCTGTTTCAGACAAAACCGAGTTTGCCACCTTTCTAGCTCCGACACGCTGACCAATCAACTTCTGAACTTGCTCCCCTGGAAAGCCAAGCTCCAAGCTCTCAAAACCACCGCCCTCACCATCGCCACGTTCTTACTACTCCTACTGGTTCTTGGCCTGCTGAAACGACGATTCCTGCCTCGTTGTCGGTTGCTCCCCCGAGTGTCGCGGCGACACACATGGCGCCGCGAATGGCGACGTCGCGAACTATGATAAATGAAGTCATACCGTTTTTGTTTTCCTAGACATCATAACGATTTTTTCCTGTTCTCCCATGACATCATAACGATTTTTTTCCTTTTTGCCCAATTAAGCTGTCTGGCACATTAAAACGGCCGCATATATAAGGGGTCGCTCGGGGCTGTATTAGGTGTGTTTTTTGCTGTTGCTGTTACTGTTATTATTGGCGAACATATTCTTCTTCTATTATTCTATTCAATAAAACCTCTAATTGTAAGAAACGAACGATTTCTTACAATTATTAGAAAAATTAACTTAACGTGACTTAATTGCCTCTCAAACGCAGCTTCAGAGGTTGCACACGAAAAGATTATCCGGGCAACGCGGTACAAATTGCGATAAACGGATCTATTCATTGGTCAATAGATTTCGAGGGAATTCGAACTCTGGTCGATTTTATAACGATTAATCTCGTCATTTATGGTGCAACTCGTTAGTGCAATAGCCAGAATGATTTTTCATAATATGGATGGAAGCGGAATTATTGGTTTGTTCTCATCTTGTTGCCGCATCTCTTTGGTGTTGAAACAGTCGTTATGAACATTGGTGATATATTCAGATGCATCTTCATAGAGAGCAAATGTCAGCTGAATAATTCAATTATTAAAATTATCAATAAGTTATCTACTGAATGCTTGTCGCAGAGGTCTTGTAAAACCATCAAATCCGCATTAGAAGACCAATATAATATGGAAGCGCGAAGTGCATTTGAACCCTTTCGTTCTAAGACTTTAATTATAAATGAATGAAATTAAGTTCTCACTTGATTTTCAACACACATATCCTTTAACGGATTTAACGTCTCAATGATGTCTTTCGTGAGACCGGCCTGCACTGGGGGGTTACAGGGGAGTTATGGCAGTCTGAAAATTCAAGGTGTTTTACCATTGTCATCAACAATTTGGGCAAGGGGTTACGCATCCAAAAAACCTTCTAGTTTACGTGTGCAATATTACAAAAAATCGTAAGACGGGAGTGAAATGACTTCCCTTGTCAGGAAACAATTATTATTGTTTTTACCCAGTTTCCATGAGTCTTTCACAAAGAATCTTGAACGATTCTTTCTCCATGATATTAAGTGGGAACCCGTCGAAATAAAAAAAATCGGTTAATATATCCTTCGGACAGATTTCTCCGAATTCTGAGGTGCATAGTTCTCCGATTAGCACTTCTTTTTTTTACAAGACAAATGTGTACCTTCTGAAAAAAAAATTATAAATTCTTCATGAAATTGCACGTTTCTTACTTAACGTGGCCACCTCCTGATGACGTAACTTTGAAACATGATGAACAATACCAACATTGTGTAGCAATTTTCGTCTCATCTTCTTTTGCCATTACTTTCCATACCGCGTTATTTTTAGTTTCTTCCTAAATTAATTTCATTAAAAAGTTTATTCTAGTATTAATAATTTTACCAATACGACGTTAGATTCCATTATCAGATTCTTCACTTCTTCTTTATCAAATGTCCTATGGTTTTTTAAAATTAATTATTGATCATTTCTTTTTTATAAAACAATTAACTTTCAATAATATACAAAAATAATAACTATTACACTTTTTCAACACAACAATATACAGTGCTCCACAAAATTATATACCCACCCTAATTTTGTCGAATAACTCTGTTGGAGCCCTGGCCTCGACACGTCACGTGACACACCACGTGGCACACGTTTCATAGGAGCGATATAAAAACCCCTTTTTACGCTCAATGATCAGTTATTCATATTGTGTCTAATAAATAATATTCTCTACGTTGGCTCGTTCACAAGGACACAACAAACTCGAAAACGCGAATACCTCCAGAAATGGTTTCAATTAGAAAAATATGCGCATTTATTATTAGTTTCATGTTACATTCACAAAATTCAACAAAAAATAACAATTTTAAAAATTTCGTCATTTTCACGAAAAAGTGGAAAACATTTTTCCACAAAATGATATACCCACTTGATAAAAAACTCAGAAAAAGGCATCGAGAGTTAGAATTTGAACGAAAATGAACATTTAGCAATTAACTGGACCTCCATTGAGTCGTGTTACATCAAAAATTCGACTGTCCATTGATAAATAAAGGTTGTCAAGAAGCTGTTGATCGGCAAGCTTCCAGGCTTCCACGATTGTCTTTTTGAGATCCGTAATTGAATGAAAAGATTTGTTGCCATTGTAAATCTTCTTCACCATAAATCCCCAGACGTTTTCGATGGGGTTTATGTCTGGAGAACAGGCTGGCCAGTCGAGAACTGGGATTCTACGGCAGCGTATCCACTGGATGGTGCGGCGAGCGCGATGACAAGGGGCTCCATCTTGCATGAAAGAGTAATTTTTGTGCCTATTTCGACACCAAAATGGCAACAGACCACGTCTTATGACGTATCGGTAGTCAGAACCACTTATCTTCGGCGAAACGAAGCACAACTTGACTCTTCCATGCGAGCTGATTGCCGCCCACACCATGACGCCTCCACCTTTGAAATTTCTACGCGAAAACCGCAGCTTCTCTTTTCTCAAATCGTGCCAATAATCACGATAACCATCTGGCCCATCACAATTGAACTTTTTTTCATCAGAAAAGACTACCCGAAAGAAGAAAACGAGTTCAATGAACGTTGAAGTTATTCTCACTTGTCTCCAGTCAGTTCGTTGATTCTTTTTTGCAAACTCCAGTCGTTTTTCACGATGTACTCGAGTCAACACTGGTGCCTTCCTCATTTTCCTGTGTTTGATGAAGTTGCTCTTCGATAAAACACGCCGGACGGTTTCATTTGACCCCGTGAGATTGAATTCCCTTCGAATCGTTGAGCACGACACGACCGAATTTGACGCTCTTCGCAAAATTTTGCGCTTATCACGATCCGAAAGCAGTGAAGGACGACATGTCGACGTTTTTTGACCATATGCGGCTGGATTCTTAGCATATCGGCTAATAACATTATGAGTGCGTCCGAGATCATTCCCAATTTGCCGATAAGAAAGACCTTGAGCCAGTTTTGTTTCAATTTCACCTTTTTCAAAGTCGGTGAGCGGCATTCCACGAGATATGTCTTTAAAACAGTAAAATTGCAAAAAAGTTCGAAAATACGAAAATATACGAAAAAAAAATATCGAAAAAAAAACAAAAAATGAAGTGGGTATATCACTTTGTGGAAAACTTTTTTCCACTTTTTCGTAAAAATGACGAAGTTTTTAAAATTGTTATTTTTTGTTGAATTTTGTGAATGTAACATGAAACTAATAATAAAAACGCATATTTTTCTAATTGAAACCATTTCTGGAGGTATTCGCGTTTTCGAGTTATTCGACAAAATCAGGGTGGGTATATAATTTTGTGGAGCACTGATATAAAACCGTTAATACGCCAAGAAAACACAGAAAAACAATTTTTAAAAATAATTGATTAACTAATTTTCAGTTGAGATTACTGTAGCTAAGATCGAGATGTGCAACTCGGTGTACGCACAAAATGCATAGTGTTGTGAGCACACTCACGTAAACTATTGTAATCTCGTAGGTTATGGAATATTCTAGAACCTTTTTTGGCTTTTTCTGTCCCTTGTTTCCTTCAGTCGATTTTTCGCAGGAAGAAATTATGTCTTGTTCATCGTTTTTTTTGGAGTACATTTTGAGTTGACTAGGCTTTTTGCGTATCCTTTTGCATCAAGCTTGACATCGGCGCGGCATCGAGTCCAGAAGCTTGTGCATAACAGACATCGGAATGGTTTTCCATGCAGTCTCGAGAAGCTCAAACTTCTGGTTGACTTTCGATACTCTGACACCTTGAACACGACGTTCCAGCTCCTCCCAGAGATGCTCGATAGGATTCAAGTCAGGAGATTGACTCGGCCACTCCAGAAGATTCACACGACAACGTTGAAACCATTTCTTGACTTGCTCAGAGGTGTGTTTCAGGTCGTTGTCCTGCTTACCGAGTGCATCAAAAAGCCTAAAAAAAAACGTTTTAGTATTTTTATTGAACAAAACGCATCAACAATCATTAAATCAATTAATGTTAATTCTAAAGTTTTGTTGGAAGTTAACAACTATTGTCGGCGTCAAACGACTTGATGGGGGCGTGGCATTCAGTATATCGTAACCAGTGTAGATTTACGAGCGGGTAGATTTACGCGCTGACCAAATATTAAATGGTTTTTTTTTCTCGATTTTTTAATATTAAAAAATGTTATGCGCGTTTTAATCCTGATTCCCATTGTCATTTGCATTCTTATAATGAGTCGACCTCCATATATACGTAAAAGTTCACGGAACTAACGGCATTTACTTAAACAAGCGAAAGAATCGTACATTTATCGAATATCTTAAGACCACCACAACAATGTTTTATTTACCGTAAAAATAGTATGAAAATTATTGTTCAAAGGGGAAAGTCATCCGATTAATTGAGAATTCTCGAAATGCACCAAGACGCCGCACAATTGAAACTTATAACCGAAAGCCCAACGAGCGTTGATTCCAATCGCCTAAAACTAGTAATAACTTCACATTGAATACAAAATTAAAAAGAAAACTGAGTCTACAAAGATAAAAAAATGATAACGTACTTTTTGGAAGAAGCTTGAAGTCATTGAGTATATTTTTTCCTTTCCCTAGTATTGATGAAGCTGTGAAGTACCGAGGCGAGCATATAATTCAGAATTTTGTGTCCGTTGGAGGTTGTCTTCGAGGTTGCGCGAAGGGTTCAATATTTGATGCCATTGTAGTCGCTGCAACTATAATGATAAAATAATGACTATTTTAAATAAAAATAAATTAATACCCGTCTTAACTTCAGTAGTTTTCAAAGTCCTTCGGCTCCTGTTCAATGTGATTGTGTTTCCTAAAATGTACTAAAAATTAAGAAACGGAAAATAATGAAGAATAAGTTTTTACAATGTCAAATTAATTAAAAAATGCCTTAAAATATATGAAAATTTTAAACTATCAATCAGCGATTATAAACATATAAGATAAACCGTAAAAATAAAAGAAATTGGCTAATAAAAAAAGAGATACAGAAAAATTCTCAAAAAAAATAACGCGCCCAAAAACACGCTGCGCAAAACACGCTGCAAAGTGTATGCCACATACACTTCTCTTCGCCTCGAGACATCTGGCAATTAGCCAATATTTTTTTTAAATTTCGTCAAGTCGTTTGACGCCGACAATAATTGAAATTAGGAAATGAAGAAAACGTACCGACAAGACAGTTGATCACATCTCCATTCCTAGAAATGTGGCCTTTTTGGCCATTTCTCCTCGGAGTGAAGCGGTGTCGGGTGTGTTCCGGAAACGTCTGGAATCTTTAATTTTGGAAAAGTTCTAAAAATAATGAATGAAAACCTAAAAGTCGTATACAATATGCAGTAAAAAAGCTATTGCATACCTGATTCAACCACTTTTTAAGTTTAAAAAAATACTGCATAGTTTCATTAATTTAAAAAAATGCGATAGAATCCAATAACCGGAAATATAACGCTCGCAACACCGCTAGAAGAAAAGTATGCCGCAGAATTGCAAAACTATGAGACATTTAATTGATAAATGTTAGGATCCGATTGGAAATTGTTCAGATCAGATTTGTTTAGATAATTCGGATACGATTCGAAATTCCCCGGATTTATTTGATTTTTGTATTATTTCAGATCCGATTGATTAAGTGGATATCTCTTTCTGCTTTTCTTTGCCCATACTTCATAATTCATTGTTTATTTATTTTTCTCATTATCCTTGTGTTCCTTTGTATATAAATCGTTTGCTGCCTCAATTGCTTCAATTTCACATTTTTCAAAGGATACATTTCTCAAGACAAGAAATTACTTGCACTTTTTTGAATCTTGCTTTGTGACTCGAGAAATCTTGCTGATGCCTCATCAAGACCTCACACTGAATGTAATATGAAACTAATACACTGCTCCACAAAAGTTTAGCCTCACCCATATTTTTTCAAAAAATGACATTTTCACAAAATTTCAAAAAACGCTTATATTGTTAAAATATGGCTAAAAAAGGTTCTTTTTAGTATCCCATATTCGATTTACACTTACTGAGCCATTAAACAAAATTTTCTTTATTTTCCGAAAATTGCGTTTTTTCGATCCACAAAAGTATAGCCTCACCTAGGTTTTTCACCGGTTTTTTGCTTATTTTTCTTCAAAGATTTTTTTTCAAAGATTTTTATGCTAGAATTATGCGTGTTTCAAGTAATGCCAGCATGTAAACCACTTTCGGCGTTTGAGCAAGGGCCAAATTATAGACAAACATGACCGTGGTTTTCGATTCGCAAATCGCTCGCGATTTGGGGCACAACCCAAAAGTGATAATTAATTATCTGAAGAATCCATCCGAATATGGTAATGCGACACGATCTGGATGTCCAACTGCCATTTCTAGCCGAGAAAGAAGAATGATCCTTCGAAAATCATCGAATATCTTTTTCAATGCATTTTCAATGCGTATGAGCGTAGTGAAATTTTCTTAACAAAACTTGAGGCATTTAAAGCATTTTTAAAGTCTATAAACTTGTAAAAGGCTGCGACTTGTAAAATTTTCTCAGTACGTCAATCGATTGTTCTAAAGCGAATTTCTTTGAGAACAGCCGATTGTGAAGGATTCAGACGATAGCCGAACAGATCGAATTAGCTAACTATCTTCACTTTTCAAAATACAACAAAGTTTATAGCTTATTAGAATTTTTTAATTTTTACGAAGGATTTAATAATATTCGTATAACAACAATGCATGAACAAAAACCATAACAATAACAACAATAACAAAAATCAAATGATTCTGCCAGGCTTGTTGCTTCGACGCCGAGCCGGGCCTAAGTCAAATAAAAAAATTCGATAGTAAAAGAATGTTCTTGAAATGAATCTCACTAAAGAGTTTAGATATGGGAAGTCTATAATATTTGATTACACTTGATAATTTCGACAAACTCATTCAGAGATAAAACAAAAATGCCTCGGCTCGGCTTCTGCCGGCTAAATTTCGGTCGTCGCTGGCCGAAACGACAAGACTGGATTCTACACAATGAGATCAAAGTCATCTCGGGTATTATTATAATCCAGTACGTGCTTCTTAATTTTGCTTGCATTCGTCCAGGTGATCATATCTTCAGAAGCTCTCGTGACCATAAACGCAGGATCGGTAACCAATTTGGTTCCAATTCTGACATGCCCTTGCTCAACCTGCGAAGAAATTTTATAAATCATAACAGAACATTAAAATCGAACCAAATCGCTAGCTGTCTTCACACTGTCCACCATCCCAGTGTTTCTCATAACAACTGGAAGCCGTCGTCTCGCAAAACTTGCTCCAGAAATCTAAAAATATTGTTTGTGATTTCAAATAGGAAAATACATATACCTTTCCAATCTTCTCCAAACTATCCGCAGTTGGAATCAATCCAGCTGCGTAAAATCTCGAAAGCACTTCTTGTGTGCATTTCGATCGGAATGGATCGCCCATCGGAAGATTTTTGATCAATTCGGCCAATTCTCGACTCTAAATATCATTGTTAATACTTGAATGATGCTTAAAATAAAAATTTAACCTTAGCAGCCAACGTATTGTATAATGCATAATGTTCTCGTTTTGTGACGTGGAATCTGAAAAAACCCAAAATATCATTGAAGGAATTTTATTAAGCAATTCTCAAAAAATCTGACAGATTAAATAAAAGTAATCTACTCAGAATGGTTTTGTAGCGTAATCCTCTGATTTGCAGAAAAGCATTTCCAGTAATAGAAAACTTTTCTGGAATTATAGACTCACCCAATTAATAACGTGTTACGAAAAATCCCAATGATGAACCAATGAACCAACCAAATCATTAGGAAACTTACTTCCGCAGCATGTCTCCTTGCCTTCCCTGCTGATCAACTTGCCATTGCATAAAATCCGTCTTTTTGAGCAGCTTCTGCTCATGTGTTTTAAATTTTCGCACCATTCTGGCAATTAAAACTTTATAATGATTGATAAAAAAAAGATGAACATGATAAGTACATAAAGGGTTCAATAAACCCCAACATGAACCACCAAAAACATATCAGTCATGATTTTTTACTCGGACGCATTTATACAGATTGGAAACGCGAGATGTAGAAATGATGAATCGAAATATTATATTATAATTTGAAATTTACATTGTTGTTAATTATATGATGAATGGAGAACGAAAGCAGAGAAAATAGCAAGAGGGAGAGAGAGAGAGAGAGAAATGGAATAGAACGTGAAGAGACCCACAAAAGTATGAAAATCTAAATTATGTTGCGGAAGCATCCCTGAATTCATAATTCATAGGCAAATGGATTTACAAAAATGAAGCAGTTTCGGGGGTGATAGTATTGATCAGACACCAGTAATGAATTGAGTTGAACAATTTCACAAGTCTAAATTTGGATGGTCCTTCGGACCACAAAAAAGCTTATCTGATGACTATTTCGGGGCTAAGAATTTTCAACTTATTCGCGTGTTAACTATACAAATTATATAAAAAACATCTGATGATTAACGATGTGCTTCAGAGACGACGCTGTCGCTTGTTGTGTCCTCCTGGGGATCCACCATTGCCCGGCGATCTTTGCCTTTTTCGGTGACGCTGCACCTGGGACTCGAGAAAAGCATCTAGCTTCGGAGCATTGCGCTGCTGCTCTCCACCGTTGGTCACATTCGGTGGATCTGTGAGTGCCTACAAATCGATTGTTTTCATTTTAAGTCTCCACTGAAATTTTTACTCTCTGAAAAAGCTGCATCGTCGCGTCAGTGTCGTGAGAAAATGTGAATGGCTCGTCGTGTCCAGTTCCCTGAAAAATCAATCATATTGAATTATGATTATACCGTTTGGTTTACCTCCTCATTTGGAAGGCGCATGTTTCTATACAAAATTTCGAGAACCGTGTTGAGATTGAACGCCGAAGAACATTGGAATGCACCTATTATCTCCTAAAAAGCGTTTACATGAAAATTAAAACCGCCATTCAAGATTACCTTCGCCAAATGAGTGCGTCCCGAGTGAAATCCCTTATCGAATCCACGACGATAGTTATCCACTGACGTCTAAAATATGTTTGTGTCCTATTGCGAAACACGGTTATCATTTTTTCTACCTTGTACAATTGCGTAGTTCCCTCTGCGGCACCTTGGAAGTTCTTCCATGATGGCTCGCTGTAGAGCCTGGCAACAAATTGGGCACATGATTCGAAATCGTTCCAATTTTTTTCGCCTCCCGAATTATCGTCGAGGCGATCGCGTTGTCGACCGCCATTATTTGGGAAATTCGAGTGAAAATCAGACATCTGAAAGAAAAATCGATTCGTCCAACAAAAAGATGCAGAGATGCAGGTGTAAAGACGACGATGTAACGCGTGCGATTTCAACGTGGGAAATAAAAATTAATATTTTACGTTTTTTGAATTCAATATCGTCATCGATACATTTAAATATGAATGAAAGAAACAAAAAATCAGTTTGGTAAAATAGAAGATAGGAGAATGTGGAGAAATTTGATATAAAAATCGATTGGATAGCAATTAAAAGTAATGACTTTTCAAGACACCCGAAACAATGCGAAAAATGATGGAGAATATGCAATAAGCAATGTGATTTTGAGGGAACGTGTGACTATGGGTTTGATTTCGAAGGAAAAGTTTTGCGAAATAGAAGAAACGCGGATGAGCGAACGAAAAAACAAAAAGAATGCGCAGCCGAGTTGCAGAAAAATTGGCAATGCGATGGAGCGCGTTTCCTGGCCGTCTGCAAACACCGACACGCCTCTGTACATCTTCACGTGTGTTTCAAAAATTGCCGTTTCAATCTAATAGGCAAATTCATTTTACGAACATTGATTTCTCACGGTTTTGGTGAAAACCCCGGGTTTATCTGTTTTGCCGTTTTGACGAAAATAACTAATTTGTTATTTTTTTATGCTAATGTTTCTCCCAAAGTTTTCTACTGTTTCACTCTATGTGTTTTATAAGTATTTAATCATATATTTTCAGCTTATGATAGTGATTTGGAACGTGGAAAATGAATTCAGCAAACGAAAATGATATACGGTTCTTGATTCAGCAGGTATTAATCCTGGAAATCATTTTTTCGGCATAAAATAGTAAAAAAATCGCTTTGTTCAAGATTCGAGACAAAAATGGAACATTAAAAGACCGCAAGTTGGTCCTGAATAAAATTAATGAGCTTTTACGATGTTCGAATGATATAATGGTTTGGGTAAAATTCAGAACGAACTAAAAATTAATTTTTTTTAGGGAATTGGAGCTGACTGGCAGTTAACCCTGAACGAAACTTGCTCTCCAGTTTTTATGAAGTCTGAGAGAAGCGATATTAAAAATATAGCGAATAAAATCTTAATCTCAATTGGAACATTATTATTTCCAACATCTCACTATATAAAGTAAATCCTGTTTGAAAGATAATTTATATTGATTTTCAGTTTCATTGGATGGCTGAACGACTTATTTTTCAAAATTCCTAAGCGCCTAGAAGAAGAAAAAGCTGATTTAGTCGTTTGTATGATTAGTATTTTGCAAAATATCGGCGAGGAATTCGAAAATAAGGACGATTTCGCTCCGCAAATCAACGTAAGATCTTAAATTTTGATGGTTTTCTGGAAATTTGGGTTTCCAGGTGTCTCTTCAATGGGTTGCCGATATAATACCGTCTAGTTCTGCTCTCGTATTTGCACAATGCTTGAAAGCTATGGCTTTGCTCGCAAGTTCATTCAGAAAAGAGTTCAACGAGCGTTTTGCGGTAAAATTCAAAAAAATATCTCGATTTATTTCGTTTTTTTTAGGACAACCTGCAAAAATTGTGTCAAGATCTAACCGATGCTCGTTACACCGAGAGAAACGTCGAACTTCTTGTTGAAGCGATTGTGGTCTTCAAAAAAAGTTTTCATGCAAACATCGATTTCACGAAATCTTTCACTAAAAATCTGCTCAATATGGATGTCAATGTATTATTTTTGTTTGAATTCAAAAATCCGATTGATGGTTTTTTTCTCAGGAAATTACCGAATCCGAAGTTCACAAACGATTAAAAATCGTAATTATGGTTATGAAAATCTCGGAAAACAAGGAAATAGTAATGGAATGTAGTGAAAAGGTTAATTGTGGCAATGCAAATACAAAAATCAATTATTTTTCAGATTCGCACGATATTCGAATCATGTTTTACTACGGAAAATTTTAAATTCTCTTTGATGGAATGTTTCTGCCAAATTTCGTTGGAAGTCATCAAACTTGTCAGAACGGTACTCAAATAACTTTATTACTTGAAGAATTTTGAACTCTATACAGAATTACGGAGAAACTGAAATCATCGAGAAGTTCTATGAGATCCTTGTTAATTCATCGAGTTATCTCATGAACAGCCAGAAAGGAAAAACTCTGGTTCTAAATTATCTTTCAAAGGTTTGTTTAATATTTCTACATGAAGGAATTGTTCTCTTTTTCAGACTTTGAGGAACTTACCACCGCAAGCAACAGTTATTCCCAATGTGATTTCGATGGTTTTTGACAAATCCACTGGATTTTTTGCCGAAAATTCGCAAAACCACTTTTTGGTTCTAATAGGGTTCGATATTTCAATGAAATTTCTGATTTTTGTCGATTGTTCTTTTTTTTCAGGAAGAAACATACGTATACGAAATTGTGCGATGTGATCTCAACATTGCTCACACCGAATTGCTTGAAGCAGCTTCAGTTAGCTTATGCCTCATTACGAGAAACGATTTTAGGTATTTGTTTAGAATAAAAAATGGGGATAAAATGTTGGAAGCGAGATGATTTATGAGGCTTGGTAACTCGAGAAAAACTCGAGAAATTCGGGATATTGCATTGTTGTTTGCTTATATTCGTCTTACTGAATTGATCCTTTTTCGTACTTTTTGGGTGTTTTGTAACTGTATTATTGCCATAAAATTAATACATGGGGACCCACAAGAAGATGCTTTTTATCAACATTAAGAACCGAGCGGATAACTTTGAAATGAAGTCCGAATTAGTTGAATGCCGGCAAACGCGTTACTCTTTTGACTTCAAATTATTCGATTTCAACTCAATCCTCCCGCCATTAGACACCGATATAATGAAACCATGTTTATATATTGTCGAAGTCCAACGACTTGACGAAGTTTACAAATGATTGGCTACTTGCCAATGCGACTCGAGGCAGCGAGAAGTACGCGAGACTGCGTACATTGCATTATAGTGTACGCGCATTTAATATTCAGCCAACGAAAAATTTAAATCTACACTGATTTCGCGAATTTGAAGAGTCCGCTTCGCTTCAGTCGTTTGACGCCGACAATATATTCTTTTTTCGATTTGACGTCAATGCCATAATTAGCTAATTGGCAAATAGAGTGATAAAACGTAATGCGGGTTATATCTAAATAAAGAAAATTGAAAAATATATATTTATTTATATATTTAACTCAATTTATTTTTTATTTAACTCAATTTATTATATATTTAACTCAATTTATAGATTCTGTCCTTAATAAGTAGTTATTTCAGAAAAGACGAACATACTTCGCGAATGCCCAAGTGAACAAACTCGTAATTACGAAGCGGCACTTATGATTCTTCTCCAATCCTTGCAATCAATTTCATGCGTCAAAAGTTCGATTATTGTGATGATGGGCCTTCGTCCGGGCATTTTCGAGTTTCTCGTTGATGAAATGCCGTTGAATGAGCAGTGGTTTGCAACTGAGCATCCGACTTTGTATTACTTATTTATTCATATTCTCATTGATCATTTGAAAGCGTGAGATTTTTTCTTTTTTCTTGAATTGAGAATAATTTCACTTTTTTCAGACACGAATACTACATTGCGCAATCGGATTATATAGTGAATGATGAGAGCTTGAGTGTTGGACAAACTAAACGTGAATACGCGAAGAAGCAGATCAAAGCGATCAATGCGATTTTGCAGTTTGACGGCGAAAAGGTCTCGAAGCAGGCAAAGTGAGCAATTATTTTTCATAGCCAGTATTAAACATTTTTGTGAAAATTGAATCTGGGTTTGGCACATTCTCGTAGAGATATTAACAATGTGATGCAATCTTTTGAATTTGAATTCTCTTCATGCGTTCTATTGTTTGAATCATTTGCGCAAAATGTTCTCATAGTGAAATTTACGACAAGCGCAGGTGGTTGTGCGCCACACTGGAAGAGAGCATACTCTCACATTTTTGCCAAATTCAATCAATTTTTGTTCAGAACTGCAATTTCTGCTTGGATTTTTGCATTGGTGCAAGGAATCTGCACGAATATCAACGGGGAAGCTCTTGTTAAAGAAGAATGGACACGTCTTCATAGTAATCTCACTGTTCAATCCACGTTGGAATGGAATATTGAGGAGTAAGTTTTTGGTTTTAGCAAAAATGCAGAAAGTATTCAAGAAAAAGTTCAGCGTTTTTTAAAATCTCTGTTCATAAATCGAACCGTTGCTCATTTTAATTGATGGGTGTTTCGAAATAGCAAACCCCATAATTTTGTGCGATTTTCATAATTGTTTCCCAAATTTTCAAGTTTCTAAAAGTATTTCTTTTGTCTCATTTCATCTATCGCAATCGCGTCATAATTCAGTATTATTCAGCATTGTTGCAAATAATAAACTAGGTATGGTTGCTTTTTATTAGATTGTTGGATTGAGTTTCGCGCTTTCAAAAGAAAAAAAAAATGCTTAAACTTGAATTTCATAAGAGATGCAAAATAGTCGAAATAATCATTTTTAGCGTCAAAATTGACAATTTCTGTGATTTTATTGGTCAAAACTGAAGAATTCGACAATTTTGCACGCAGAGAACAGATTTATATGACTTATGAACTTATACTCTTGCCTTTGACTACTTGGCTACCGTAGTGGACATTGTGAAATAGTGGGACTATTGGAAACGGACCACTGAATTACGAGATGGTCCGTATAGAACCTCAAATAGATAACAAGCGGTCAACAGTATAAGTCTTATGAACTTACGGATAATTAATTTCGTAGGCTCGAAACCCGACCGTGGCTAATACAGATTTCGTGAATCCTTGCCGGTTAGCAATAACCGAGGAAACTAGTTCAGACAATAGAAGTATCTATTTTTCATCCACTTTTTATCAATTTTTTCCCTTTCTCTGTTACAGTGATATAGAAAACATGGTGCTCTTTCTTAACTGTTAATCTGAGTTGTATCAGCCATAATTAAGGAATATTTTTAAACGAGAACCGTCTTCACTGTCTGTCCCTCTCTGCTCGTTCTTTCTATCACTATCAAAAAATTGGGAAAAAAATTGCCGGAAATTCGAATTGTTCCTTTTTTTGTCTTTGTGTGCGTATGTAGTTTATTGATGTGGTTCTCTTTTCAGCATCCATCGCGCACTCTACGTTTTGTCGACAAAAACTAGTTGGCCACGTATTGGAATCAGTAGTGAATTAGTAATTTGTGAGAAGGTCTCGAAGCGAAACAACAAATTTTTTTATGTTGTCACGTTGTCAAACTTTCAGACGAAAAAGGCCGACTTGAAAACAGCATCTCACATTTGGAATTGCGGTGATTTCAAAGGATACGTTAGGCAAGCGAATTTTACCCATTAATACGAAATTATGTTCATTTTTTTTGCTTTTTTAAGGCAAAGCGTGTCAGGACCGTTCAAAATGGCGCAGGAAAGCGTCCAAACGGCGGTGTGCTCGACGACGTTTGGAGCTGAAGAATTTGGATTTGTTACGAATTTCTTACTTAATGGTGTTATCCCGCCAACGTTTAGGTAATTTTTTGTCTTTCTTATTTAAACAAAATGAAATCTATTGTTTTCCTTAAAATTCAGATTATTAATTTTTTTTCGTCCGTAGCGTGAAAAACACTTTAAATTAAACTAAAATATTCGGAATTTCAGCAAAGGAAAATATCTTTGGATGGACGAATTCTTGAGAATGATGACTTATGGAGTTACGAATACAGATGATAAGAAAAAAGTGGATATTCCCGAAGAGCTCATTGCGGTAGAATATGGTCAATCGATAAAATTTTTTATAAATTTTTTTTTAGAAATGGCGCTGGGTTCTTGCTCAAACTGCGAATTTCTGTATTGTGAACAAAATGAAAACGCCTCTTGGTAAACCGATGGAGACATTCAGCGCATTTTCAACGGAAATCAACAAATTGGCCAAAGAGGTTCTGACGGCGAGCAGAGTTAAAGAAAAGTGTGCCTCATTCTTATTCGACACTTAAAAATCGTTCCTACCGTTTAGATCTGGACTTGAAAATCCGCCTCTCTACCCACTCAGCTTTCTACGAGTGCGACTTTTACTCGAATTCATTGATGTTTTGGAAAAGCTTATGGCAAATACGATGTCGAATGGAGCAACATTTTCGTTAATGGAGATTCCTGGAGTTGCTCGACAATTTTTCATAACAAATGCGTCGAGCTGCAACGAATGGCTTCTCAGAACGTATTATCCGGCCATGGTTGTGGCGTTTTTCAACGGACACCTCGCTTTGGTAAGTGTTTTGCTCAGGATTCCGTTTTCATCCCGTTTTTTGTCTTTTTACACGCTGACGCCATTTTGCACACATTTGATTTCAGACAAATATAAATAGACTTCAAAATATTTTTCTATAAAATTTTCTGATTGAAGTGAAATGAAAAAGATTGTACGCTAGCTGGGATACTTAAATTTCATTTGCGTATACTTTACTATTGAAAGAAAATTGTTTTTTGGATTTATTAAAAAATGTCTGTCATAAATATGGGGTAACACAATCGATACGTATTGGGAAAAGTTTGCGAAATTCAAACATTTTTATATCAAGCTGTTAATTACATGCTTTACAACGTACAAAAACATCTTAAATTTTATTCAAAACAAAATTCTGAAAGTGTCAGCATTTTTTATAATTTTTTTTCAGACAATTCGATTTGGTTGGAATGCACTTGTTGTCTACCAGAAACGAGCAAAAGATGAGAAAATCCGAAGTGTTGCCGCGACAATTTGCTGCTGGATGGCTCGAGCCATGGCCACTCTCACTGCTCCGCAAGCGATTGTAGGGATACGAAAATGGGTGAAAATGGAATTCGAGACTGATCTAGGACAGAATATTATGGAGGCTCTCGAGAAGATGGCTTGTGACAAGTTTGTTCTACATTTTTGACTGGATTTTTGAAATCGGCTATTTCAGATATGAGGAGTCTTTGACGATGTTTGAAGCATGTTTGTTATCAGACAATCCTAGCGAAACACTCAAATTGATTATTCACAATGCGGTATTTTCAAAAAATTTAATGAATTTTAATGATAATTTGTTATTTTTAAGATGTTGGATGTCCTAAATCGCCTCCGTCTTCCTCATGCTCTTTCTTATTATAGAAACGTCATTTTCGTAGATGACGAACCAGTTAGTGAGGATTATCGATCGTAACTTATTGCATTTTTATCTCATGGCGAATTTTACCATTTTAGTGTGGAATTATTGACGAAATTCGAAAAAGTAGAGCACAAACTCAAAAGAACATTGGTTGATTGGAATATTCGACATCGATTGACGGCCTTAGAATCATCGTTTTCGCAGACAATGAGAATGTAAGCTTAAAAATTGAAGAAATAGTAGTATCAGGCTGTTTTAGGGTGGAAATAGCAGAGCATCGCAAAGAAATGACCGTATTAGGCGCCCTTGCACTCAGCGTTGATCCGACATGCAAGATCTATTCGGACATCTCTTCTACAAATCTTGTCGTTGCCTTCCTCGTCGATAATGTGAATTCAGTTCAAGGCAAGAATGATCTGACTACTCGACCGTTGTTCACTGGATGTGGAGACGAAGAAATCGGCGAAAAACTGACACTTTGCCGCAAAGTTATGCATTGGGCTCATCATTTGAAGCATATTCGTATGTGTTTTTTATTTGTTGTTAGAAAATTGTCATAAAATTAATATTATAGGTCGGACTTCCGGAGAAGCTCATTTGGAGATAGTAAGACTCGCCCGAAAGTGCGAAAACCGCCAATTGGCGTCTTGGCATGTGAAATCGTCTGGTGACAATCTTTCGCCTCTCCTGAATCTTCAGATTCGACGCCAATCAATGAAACTGGTATTTCAGATTTGGAATTCCAACAAAAAACGGTTTTTTGTAGTCAACTTCTAAAGATCTTGATATGCAAGTCGTGGAAATGAATAAAATGACTCGAGCACTTTGCGAAGTGTTTGGAGCAACTGCCAAATGGAAACAGGAACGACTTATTGCTACTCCAAACCGTATTATTTGAGCTCTCAATATTATTTGTTTCAAACAGAATTAGCTTCAGAAGCTGTGGCGCCGGCAATATTCGAAGAATGGCGAGCTCGCGATGAAGCTATGGCGAGAAGTTGTCTGCAACTAGCGAATGTCTTTGAGAAATCTCCCGAACGAATCGCATATTTGATGCCAGATGTTATTGCTTCATTCTTTTGGGTAATATTTTCTGTATTTTACCGGTTATCAGTATATGCAACAATTTTAGAGCGAGCTCTATCGTCGTCCGGAAGTTGGAACACCGAATGGCCATGGAATCGTGGGAGCACTTCTGTCGCTCTCGGCTCGCATCTATCCTCAATTGGCGAAGACGCACTTGAAATTGGCCGAATGGGCTTCTGCATTGGCAACTCCAGAAAAGTTTGAGGATTTCAACCCGGCGTGTAAAGAAATCAAGGTTTGAATTCGGTTCCATAATCGTTGAAATTCGTTTTTCGTAGATTTGCGACGACCCAGTGCTTAACGAAAAATTATGGAAGTGCATGAAATCAACGACAAATGTCGCTTCACTCAAACACAATGTGATGAAACTTCTAAATCATTCGCAATTTGCTCAGTGAGCTCTTATTACATACAATGCCTTTTAAAAATATGTTTTAGCGAGCTTTTCATACCTGGTAGCTACTTTTTAAACATGTATTCCGCAATTATTGAACATCAGCGCCAATTTTTGGTCATGGCGACTACGGGATACTTCTCATTTCTCCGATATTCTGCTGGACCGCATCCATATTCGGTATCGATTTATTCTTGTCAAGTCTACGCATTTTTTTCAGAAGAAAGAGCAAATCACTGTGGCATCTCTACATATTATCGATATTCTAACAAAGTTTGAAGATTTTATGGTCGACTTGATGGCCGACGGTCTGAGTTCGACAAATTGTTTGGTTTGGAAGGACATTTTGCCGCAGTTATTCGCGAGACTATCGCATCGCTCGGAAATTGTTCGAAGTGTCATGATGGGCTTGATCAACAAAATCGGCGTGGCGGCACCGCATTCTGTCGTTTTCCAAATTGTCTCTGGAGCCGCGGCTGCACAATTAGGAAACGAGAAGGATCACGAATGTCGGCCATTCACAAATGACGTAAGTTTATCAACGTGTCTATTCCATTTTTTTGTTCGTATTGTAGGAACGCGCAAGATTTCGAAGTTGTTGCGAAATTCTCGAGCAGCAGTTGGAAGAAGTCTATCCGGAATTGGTACGAGACACGAAAAAGTTTGTCAACGAAATCGAGAGGATCAATCTGTTGCCGGAAGAAAAGTAACATTTGTCTCGATAATTCTAATCATTTGTATTCGTTTCTCAGATGGGCTGTCGTTCTTGGAAGTTTGGAACATGAAATGGAGAAGAGGTTGGCTCAGGTCCGAAATGAAAACGCGAGAACGTCGGCTTCGGCAATGTACAACAAAGAGGCAATGAAGAGCATAATGGCCAAAAAGACAAATTTGATAACGTGCCAAATTTTCGAAGCTCTCGACACACTCTATCAGCAGACGTGTGAGAAACCGGCTGAAACGGAACATGAGAAGGTGTTCCAGTCGAGTTTCGGCGAAAAATTAAAAGCGGCTGCCGAGGAGTCGAAATTGTATCGAGAACAACCGGAAAAGGCGTGGGCTCCTTTCAAAAACGTAGATTTTCTGGCAAAACCAGTGAAAAAGTATTGTCGATTTCAGCTCATCTCTGTTATGGTTCATCGTCATATGAAACGAGGAGCTCAGCAAATTGAAACCAAAAATATCTCGCCATATTTAGCAACGGTTTAAAATGCTACTCTTCATGATTTACGCTCGTTTTTGTAGATTTCGAAGACCTGTGTTCCAATGCCCGGCCAAGATAGTGTCGAGTTCGAAAACGTCGTTCACGTGCATAAGATCCATCCGAATATTGTGATTCTGCCAACAAAAACTCGACCGAAAAAGTTGACATTCATCGGAAGCGACGGAATATCATATGTATTTCTGTTCAAAGGACGTGAGGATTTGCATCTTGATGAAAGAGTCACACAGTTCCTCAGAATGTGCAATACAATGCTAACAAATGGAAAAGTTGAAAAGTGAGCATTTTTTTCGATGAATTCGCGGTTTTATGTGAGAATTATTTTTATGATTTTTAGATCTGTATTCGAATATGAAGCTCATAATTATGCTGTTATTCCTCTTGGACCTCGATCAGGTCTTATTAAATGGGTTGAGGGAGCTACACCGATGTTCCAGCTTTTCCGTAAATGGCAGGCACGCGATAAACTTGTGCAGCAACAAGCCGGCAAAAAGACGACGAATTTCGAGATTGAGAGACCTAGTGAAATGTTCAACAAGACTGTTCGAAATGTGTTCGCTGAGCTGGGAATCGGTGCGGAGATTCTCAGCGATCGTACGAAATGGCCGCCGGAAGCGATGGAGAAGGTGTTTGAGACGTTGGTCGAAAAAACACCCAAAGATCTGTTGAGCAGGTACGCGAGAATTCTCGATTTTCTCAATGATTCGTTATATTCCAGAGAGTTTTGGGTTCGGAGTGGATGTGCAACGACATGGTGGCGTGTGACTACAAGATTCTCGCGTTCCTGCGCCGTCATGAGCATGATCGGTGCGATGCTCGGATTGGGTGATCGCCATTTGGACAATTTACTCGTGAATCTCAATCATGGATATGTTGTTCATATTGATTATAATATTTGCTTCGACAAGGGCCGAAATTTGCGAATTCCGGAGACTGTTCCATTCCGACTCACGCAGAATATGGTTAATGCTCTTGGACCTTCATTTATTCAAGTAATCAATCCATTAACCTAGTTAGTCTAGTAATTCATTCAAGGGCACATTCCGCGAGTCTTGTATTCATGTGCTCTCTACACTACGAGCTGGAAAAACTGCTCTCCGAATGCTCCTTGATGCCTTTGTTTATGATCCTCTTGTCGATTGGACTAATAGTGAACATGGTCCCTCAGTTGGTATCTCGTATGCCCTTCAACTAGCTGTTTATGGAAGCGATCGAAATCATGGACGAAAAGATGTTGAATACGCAAAAGCGATGTTTGAGGTCAAGATGGGAGAGTTTAAGGGAATGTGGCTGAAAAATAGGCAAGAATCTTATATCTACTTCATTGTTGAGATAATTATTCATAATTGTAGAGAAGATCTTGAATCTTCTATACGCGATCTCATGTTTGTTCTGAAGGCGCAGCGATCTTTTGGTGTGAATGAAGAGATTGACAAGGTTTTTCTTGCATTTCAAATATCATTCAACACGTACATTATTTTCAGAAACGTGTTGAAGCTGGACGACGCCTTCAAGCAGCTGTTACTAGGCATCATTGGATGATGAAAGAACTTCGGCCCCTTCTTCGTTCGATTTCAAGAAGCTACGAAGGATTTGAGCGATTCTATGAGAATTACAAGACGGTATTCAGCGGACCCCTTGTTAGGTTTGATTGATTCTCTAGTTTGTCTGGAAATGTATTTTTTTTTTTTTCATTTTTCAGTGCTCATGAAGAATTGTCGGATGAGAAGAATATGGATATTGATGGGTGTTTAAAGCACTTCCAAACGGTACTAGAGAGCTTAGAAATGTATGTATTTATTTATTTATTTATTTTGTACTTTGATGTATTATTTAGGGTTTTCACCCAAATGGTAAATTTGGCGGAATATCCACCATTGAATGGAGTAGCACCCGTTGCACCATTTGGAAACTATCGTGAAGGTTTCGATCATCATTTCTCTATTTTCTTTATTTTAATCGAGTTTTCCAGTGAATGATAATGAGAATGTGTATCATATGGAGAATCCAATGGCGCGAACGATAATTGAGGGTGTTGAAAAACGTTTGAATGGCGCTGTTGGTGAAACGATAATATCACCAGAGGAACAGGTAATTAACTGTTGGTTTTCTTCTTCCACGTTTTCATTGCACCCCAATTTCAACTCGATTGTCGTCCTCTAATTCTTGGGTAATATCTATGTTTAGAATTTCGATTTGAAGCTCACTTATACATTATTGATGTGCACGCGAATATTTGCAGGCGGATTCGCTAATCGAAGAGGCTGTCAGCAAGTCGAATTTGTCGAGAATGTACGAGGGGTGGACTGCTTGGGTGTGATATTGTTAACAAACCAAAGCAGCAGCATCAGAATCCGCAACTTGTTCATCCAATCGTCACATCAACGCACACCTTCCCACAGCCCTTCATTCCCCCATCCAAAAACACAAAAATGGGGCACCATGAAGAAGTTTGTGTGCGCTTCTTTTTGATAATGGTGAGTTTGGCCAAGAAATTGGAGACGAGAGCGTACCGCCAATGTTTTATGAGATGAGCCATAAAATTGGACATGTGTTTTGGAACGCCGCAATTTTTGTCGCAAAATGAAAATTAATGGTGGAAAAGCAACGTTTTATTGGCGTTTTGGAAAATATCGTTTTAAATTAATATCTTATTTAAACGAAAAATTACAACAAGGGAAAACTGGCACACACATGAGGCGTTATTCCAGTGAGGAAATCATGAGAATCAAGATTGCCTTGAAAGACTTCGGATCACTCGTATGAATTTTAGGAGCAATATCGCATAGTTTACCGCTAGCTTTGATCACTGAGCACATGGTGCTCGTACATAAACGAAGACTGATTTTGATACGGTTGTAGTTGAAACTTATTGTTCTCAAAAAAAAAAGAAAATTGATGAACTTTTTAAAAATCGCCGTTGATTTCAGGTCAAACCATGAACTCCCGCACGGCTTCCAAGCGCGTTTTGTCAGACGACGAGATTCGGCGCAGTGTTGCGTCGAGAGCGGAATGAGTTCTTGCTGAATCCACACCGAATGGTGTTCGACACCAAGTCTCCCGCGTGCCAAAACACCACCATTCACCATCTTTAACATTCTTTGATTGATTATCTTTGAAGGAACCCAAAAGGATCTCGGGTGGGAGAGCCCTCCTTCCTTTCATCACACCATCATTATTTTCTCTATTCTTCATCTTCCCTTTCTATTATTGTAGTTAATTTTTTCTTATTACATGTCTCGCAATAATTCGTATTTTATTCTTTCTTGTAACCGCCAGTCCCTTTTCATGTTATCTTGAAATTAGTCGACTTATAAAGAAATTTTTCATTTCGAAGCCAATCCAAGCCCAAGGGGCAGGTCCAGTTTAATTAAACACACACGTCTCGACACTTGCCGCCACTTCTCTTCTCATTTTCGACATCCTACAGTAATTGCGGCATGCTTCTTCTCCTTCTTCACATGCTGCTTCTTCTCCTTCTTGACAGCTTGTTGAAATGCAGATTAAATTGCGTTTTTTCCTTATTTGGCTATTGGGTTTTCTCGTTTCGATCTCACGTATTGGTTTTACGAATCGGATCATCATTCGTTTTTCTTCTTTGGCTTTTGCTGTGTGGCCAAAACTCTGAACAAATGCTTTTCTATCTTTTTAAGGAATAATTTTCGAAATGCCAAACTTATTTGGTCTTATCGCGAAGAATAGATTTTATCCTTAGAACAGTAGACTAATTGAAATCGTTTAAATCAAAATTAGAATTTAATAAAAAAAGAACACGCACCTTGAATAATTGTGGACCATCACACTTTTTTTAGGCGGTAATTCAAATTTCGGAGAGATAGAGAGAGAGAGAGCTCGTTGTTCGCACAACAATAAGTATAATAAGTGAAATTAAAAACCATTTGGTTCAATTTTCCCTTATATGGGTTAAAATGCGAAAAACATGTAATTTATTAAATTGACCATATTCTATTTAAAAAAAAAATCAAGCGTATTTGAAAATTTTGAAAATGTTTTTTTCTTGTTTTTTTTTGAAATGAAGTGTTGATGAATGGACGCTAGTATTTTCAACATAGAAGTTTTCAATTTCAACGCCGCATTTTCTAATTCAAGGCCATTTCATATTTTCTTCCTTCTTTCTCCTCACTGAACTTGGCTTCAATCAGAAAGCAAAACACCCAATAAAATGAGTGATAATGAGTTTTTTAAAAACAAGAAATACTCACATTTCGCTTTTGAGCCTTTCGATATTTGCGTGTTTGTTTTATTGACACCGAATGCCCAATTTTTTCCCATTTTTTTGGGTTTTTGTGCATGTCGCACGACCCAATTTTATGATTCGCCGCATCTTTTGCAAACCAATTAAAATCCTTCGAAACATGCGATCCGCGCTTCTTTCCCGCCGTTATTCTTCACATTTTTTTCCGAAGAACTTGCGGCAGTAATATCAATCAATGATAATGTGAAACGCGGCGTTTTCGAAACTTTTCGAAAAAAAAAAACAAAAAAATTGAAAAATTTGCGTCGAATAAAATGCATTTTCTGCACTCATGTGCATTACGACTTGCGCTATATATGACGACATTTTAATTATTTAGTTTTTACAGAAATTTGGCGTCTTTCCAATTTTGTTTTGTATTTCGTATCTATTAATTTAATTATATACTTTGTTAAACGTCTTTTAAATTCTTCGAATTTTTAAAACATAAAAACCGGATATAAAAAGCGAGAATTTCAAAAGAAATCGAAATTTTAGGCGAACAAAAAATTTCGTTCGTGTATCGTTTCCAATAATTATAGTGTACTCGGCACGCAACGTCGTCGTCGTCGTCGTCGCTGCCGTAAAACCCCCAAAGCGTCATCAAAGTTAAACACATGTACCATAAATTTAGTGGTCATTTCGAATTCACACATGTGGTCCAATAGTTTTCGGCTCTTTGTTTAATGATGCGCAAAAAATGTGTTGTGGTGCATCTGCCGTGCGGTGAATTATTCAAATTCTTTTTTAATTTTCCAATAACTTCGTCGGAACCCACCGTTTTTCGCAACCGATTTTTTGGCGGGGTGTATTTATTCAAGCAAATATTGAGTATTGAATGTCAATCGGGGGAGTGCGCGAATGGTGGGGAACCCTGACTCTAGTGGATTCAGTATTCGATTTGTGTATCCTGTCGTCGACCGGTTGCGTACGCTAGCCGTCATTCGCCTCCAATTCTTGCCACTTCAATGTCACACCTACCTGGTTAGGAATCTTTCGATTCAGATGAAATGAATTCTAACAATTTTCTTCCTTCTTTTCCCCCGGTACTCATATATTGTATGATCTGCGGACCACTCACTCGTTCGGTCACTTCATCGAAACTTGTTTGTATTTCGGCTTTCTTGGTGCGTTTACCGTGCCTATTATTGGCTTTCATGGGCCACTTCAATACCCTTTTTTCTTTGAAAATGTTTTCGCCGCCAACGTTTTTTTCTGAGACAGTCTGGTATTCTTCTTTGTGCGAATAATTTGAAAATTTCACAGTACCACTACTCATTAGAACAAACACTGACTCAGATCGCTTGATAAAACGTCGGTTCCATTAGAAAAAAGGGAAATCGAAAGAAAAATAAAACAAGTACCCACTCTTGCTACTATAGATAAAATCTTTAAAGTTGTCGATAACTGCAATTTCAGCTGAAATTCTTCTCTCAAATAGTTGTATTTAACCCAATAATTAGAATTGCTAATTTCGGTTCCGCGTTTCTTCGGTACCTATTTTTTGGGAAGTTTTTCTTGGTACCTGTTTTGGGACTTTCATCGACATTGAGGTTTATATCTATTGATTGGTAAAATTATCATCAACTTGTAGTCGAATAATATTCTTCATTAAACTAAAAATAGAGATGAAGGGCGATGGTGATAAAGAAGAAGACGAAGAAAAGCGGACCGCATAACCCTCGTCTTCTTATTGCAAAATATAGTGGGCAACGCATACGAAGAGTTTAACAAAGAAACAGAGCTATAAATGCGTAATTCTCACCGCATGGGCTGTAAATAGCGCAAGAGCCAACATTTGGTGTCGGTGTGGTGTATTGTGATGGCGACCCACCCCGTGTGGTCGTACGCCAATCAAAAGGTGCGCGTCTGTTAGCTGATCCTGCCGCTCGGGGTCAAGTTGCTCTACTTACCTTTGCGCACAACTTCTTTCCATTCACCCATCACAACGCCTGTCCGTCGAGCTTCATCCTCTTCCACTTCTCCCCATCTTTTTGAAAGAAGACGAGTAGCCAACAAGCGCTATAATTAAATCTGCATGTGCATGTATATTAATTTCTTTGCTCATTCGGGCTCTCTTCAAAAAAAATGAAGAAGAAAACGGAATTTTTCGTTTTCATTTCCACCACCACAACCCGAAGAGTTCCCTCCAGTCGCCGCTGCCGCCGGACGCTCTTCAAAGTTAGTTTGAGTGGATTTTTATTATTTCTGGTGACGGATTATATAATGCGCCTCCCCCTCTTTTTCATCGTTTTGCCTCGTTGAGGATTATCGGTTTCTATGGAGACTTTGACAAGTTAGTATTGAGTGCTTATTAAAGTGATATAATTGTTCTGCGGACCACTATTATTCTGTGATTTCTCGAATTCTTATGAGGTTCTCTAGCATCGAAATTCCTCGGAATATTGGCATTTTGCTAATTGATATTATAAATGCGAAAATCAGAATTGTGCATTTTTCTTAGAAACCAAGTTTAAAGGCACACGCATACGGTAATTAAAGTGGTCTACTCTATGTAAATATTCAGTGATTTACTCAATGCTCGCTCCTTGACGGGTTTATGCAGATTATAAATTATGTATTCGACTAGGCTCGAGAAAAACAAACCAAAAACTCACCTACTTACAGATTTCAAATGTTCAATTCAATATTGGGGTTTTCTTTTATTAATTTTTTTTTTCATTTGTCTTGTTATTTGTGTTAGATTTCATTGAAACACCTCCAAAATGCCTCAACTTTTTCATTAAAGGTGTCTTATTTCTGGGTTACTTTGAATTTTCGATTTTTGAACACAGTTTGCTTCGTTTCGTCATTATTCGCTAAAAATGGAAAATTTCGATTAATTTCGTATACCTGAGTTCAACTCGAAGCTCTTTTTTGCACAATAAAACTATAATTACTGCTAAAATGACAAAATTTAAAAGTAGATGATTCGATTATTATCATCTCTGATTCTCTGCCCGATACTCTCAAAACATCTGGAGCGAATTTTTAATAGTCACATATTTGAGAACAATACACTTGAATTCGGCTGTAAATTCCAGGCAGTGCTTCTCGGGACCCTA